TGGTGGCACTGCAGCTACAGAGGATTCTGGATGATACGGATTATCTGGACCTCTTTCAGTCAGGTTTCAGGCCTGGATATGGAACAGAAACCACATTGGTTGCACTTATGGATGATCTCTGGCGGGAGCGGGATGGAGGTGGTGCATCCATCCTGGCTCACCTTGACCTCTTAGCGGCTTTCAATACCATCAACCATGGTATCCTTCTGGACTGACTCAGGGAGTTGGGGGTGGGCGGTGTAGTCTTGCGTTGGTTTGCCTCCTTCCTCTAGGGCCCGTCCCAGTTGGTGTTGATAGGGGAGGAGAGATCAGGCCCGCGGCCCCTCCTTTATGGGGTGCTGCAGGGCTCGGTACTTTCTCTTCTCCTTTTTAACATCTGTATTAAACCGCTGGGTGAGATCATCTGTCTCCACAGGATGAGGTATCATCAATATGCCGTTGATACTCATTTATACATCTCCATCCTGGGGGAAGTAAGTGATGCTGTGGCTGCCCTTTCCAGGTGCCTAGAGGCTGTGGGGGTCTGGATGGGGAACAACAGGCTTCAGCTGAACCCTGGCAAGACGGAGTGGCTGTGGGTTAATGGCCCCTCGGTCCCTAGGAATTTGCCATTTTTGGTTCTGGATGGGGTAGCGCTGCCCCAGACAGACCCAGTGCATAACCTGGGGGTCCTCTTGGAGTCATGACTCTTGCTCGAAGAGCAGGTGGTAGTCGTGGCCAGGAGGGCCTTTGCACAACTTTGTGTTGTCCGCCAGTTATGCCCTTTCCTGGATCGAGAGGCCCTTCGAAGTCACTCATGCCCTAGTCATCTCCCATATAGACTATTGTAATGCGCTCTACATGGGGCTACCCTTGAAGATCATCCAGAAGCTTCAACTGGTCCAGAATGTGGCTACGTGGGCAATTTTAGGTGCATCAAGATCAGCACATATAATACCTTTGCTCCGTGAGCTGCATTGGGTGCCAGTTTGCTTCCGGGTCCAATTCAAGCTGTTGGTTATCACCTTTAAAGCCCTACATGGCATGGTCCAGGGTAACTGAAGGACCATCTCATCCCCGTCACATAAACCCGTCCCATCCAGTCATGCAGCGAGGGCTTGCCACGGGCCCCATCTACAAGAGAATTTCATCTGACGGGGTCCAGGAGGTGAGCCTTCTCTGCAGCAGCCCCTGCCCTTTGGAACAACTTCCCCCAGAAGTGAGGTTGGCCCCCTCCCTTTTAGACTTCAGAAAAAAACTGAAGACTGGTTTTGTCATCACACATGGGGTGGGGTTGGGAATAGTCAGTTTTGGGGTTGGCTGGTTCCCTAGTCTTACCTTTGACCGATATTATC